AAATGTACATATCATTTCTTAGGTAAATGTCTCATTGAGTATATTAAATTAACTGGTTGATCAATTTTTCCGATTCAGACTTTTAAAATTGAAAACCATTTGTCTCTTTATCTTTATTATCTCTAAATTATAAATTATAGTTCAGAAATTACTGAAATTAATGGTTGTAAGGCAATTAATATTCGTACTACTAAAGAAAATAAAGATATAGCAATAACAGCATTATATAGACCTCCGTCTACTAACGAATATGATTATGTAGACGAATTATATGATTTTCTTTTAAGACAAAGTAGCAGTGACCTACACCTTATAGTTGGGGACATAAACATAAATCTCCTCTCAAAAGTAAAATTAGTTAGTGACTACCTTAATGTTATGAATGAATTCAATTTTACTTCTGTAATAAATGCGTACACTCGTATTCAAGGCAATTCAAAATCTTGTTTGGATCACATATTTGTTAAACTAAAAACAGGTAATATCTTTAATTGTTTTAGTTATATCCTAGATACGTTAGTAACTGATCACAGGGCAACTATTTTTAATTGGAATGTCTTTGAGGAAAATGAAAAAACATTAACATTTAATTATATAAAAACAATCAACCAAAAAAAACTTAAAACTGATCTTAAATCGTTCGACTGGACTATTTTGTATAATATTCAGGATGCACAAGAAACTGCATCATATTTTTTAAACACCGTAAATGATTTAATATGTAAACATACTGTTAAAGTTAAACAAACTAAAAAAACGATTAAAAGAAAGGAGTGGATAACTAATGGCATAATGAAATCCATAAGCGAAAGGGACAGATTATATAAAAATTATCAAAAAAATTCATTAGATCTAAATTTAAAACGAGAGTTTATTATATATCGAAATAAATTACATAATCTGATTAGTTTAACAAAATTAGAATATCATAAACGACAAATTGAAAAAAATAAATATAACTCAAAAAATCTGTGGAAAACTATAAATAATATGACAAATTCAAATGCTAAACATTCTAATATCAAAGAAATAACATTATTAAATAATACTAAATCTACTAACAAATTAGAAATTGCCGATACATTAAACACATTTTTTACAAACATTGGACCCGATCTTGCTAAAAATATTCAAAAACCTCCACTTTTTCATTCAAAGAGACGTATTAATAAAAATTCAATTTATATGAAACCAGCCACTGAAACAGAAATAATTAAATTAATAAATGCATTAAAAAATAAAAAGGCTCGCGGTATTGACGAAATTAAATCAGAATTACTTAAAGAAACTAGCACTGAATTAGCTAAACCATTATGTTTTCTAATTAACAAGTTAATTTCAGACGGAATTTGCCCAACTGAATTCAAGGTCGCCATCATAAAGCCTCTTCACAAAAAAGGTAATAAAAGTCTGCCTTCAAACTATATACCAATTTCACTACTAAGTAGCTTTGCAAAACTATTTGAAAAAATTATAAAAGTTAGGCTTGAATCATTTTTAATTAGCGAAAAAATTTTGTCACCCAACCAGTTTGGTTTTCAGAAGGGAAAATCAACAGAAGATGCTATATCTGCATTAATATCAAAAATGTATGATGCTGTTGAACATACGAAACCGGCAATTGGAGTATTTTTGGATCTTGCAAAGGCGTTCGATACTGTAGATCACAGTCAGTTATTGGATGCATTGGAGGATTCAGGAATACGTGGAACAGCTCTAAAAATGTTTAAATCTTATCTTCAAAATCGTACACAACATGTAAAAATAGATGATTGCATAAGCTCAGCGCAAGTTGTGAAATGTGGAGTTCCGCAAGGGACAGTGCTAGGGCCGATTCTTTTTATCCTATATTTGAATAACTTACTTACCTTAAGCGTTACTGGAACCATATACAGTTTTGCCGATGATACGGTACTATTTTACACTGCTGAGACTTGGTCTGATCTGAAACAGAAAATAGAAGACGATATGAAAACTATTATTGATTGGTTTAATTTTCATCTTTTAACAATTAATTATGAGATGTTTCTACCTGTTTACAGTTACAAAAATGGAATGCCTACCTACAATGAATTAAAAATATATAATGAACATACCAAAAAAACCATAAAAATTAAACTTACTAAAGATATAAAATACCTTGGTATAACGATAGATTGTCACTTACGATGGGATTACCATATAAATAACGTCACTAAAACATTAAGATCCTTTCTGGGACGATTGAAATATTTGTCGAATGTTCTAGATTTACCATATTTAAACATATTATACTATTCACTTGTAGCATCTAGATTATCATATGGAATTTTGGCTTGGGGCGGAACTGTAGATGTATACCTAGAAAAATTACAAACGCTTCAGAAATATTTTTTAAAAATAATATTAGGAAAAGAAAAAACTTACCCTTCTGACCAGCTTTTTCGAGACGCATTAGTGTTGGATATTCGTCAGACACTTTTTCTTAAAACTCTAATTTTTTTATTTAAACACAAACAAAATTTTAATGAAATATCTCATCTCTATACTACCAGAGATAAGAAAAATAATTATCTTCAAGTTCCAACTACACAAAAAACAATTGGCCAAAGAAACTTTAAGTTTTTAGCACCCAGTTTTTATAATTTTTTACCAGAAAATTGTAAAAATTCGTACACGTCAAACCATTTTAAGAAATCAGTTTTTTCTAACATCTAATAATAGACAATTAATTTCCCACTTTTTTCAATTTGTTAACTAATATGTTATTTTCCTATTGTATTATTTCCCTATTATGTTATTTTACTATTATGTTATTTTACTATTATGTTATTTTACATTATTTATCAAATTGTTGATTTCATATTTATTATTTATATTATTGTATTCTATTATATAGCAAATAAGTTGCAAAAATAATATTACTGTTAATTTGTGTGATAACAATATAAATATAAGTTTTAAAGTATCTTGAATCATAAATAATATTAAGACAATACACAGTAATAATTACTACGTTCTAACTTATACCACGGACAGCCCTCCGGCTTTGTGGTACACCAGTTTATTGGTAGGTGATTGTACTGTAAAGAAACAAAAAAAAATATAAATTTAAAATTTATTGTAAAAATTACTGTTCTTACTAATAAACATTATTATTATTATTATTAATTATTATTATTATTATTATTATTATTATTATTATTATTATTATTATTATTATTATTATTATTATTATTATTATTATTATTATTATTATTATTATTATTATTATTATTATTATTATTATTATTATTATTATTATTATTATTATTATTATTATTATTATTATTATTATTATTATTATTATTATTATTATTATTATTATTATTTATTATTATTATTATTATTATTATTATTATTATTATTATTATTATTATTATTATTATTATTATTATTATTATTATTATTATTATTATTATTATTATTATTATTATTATTATTATTATTATTATTATTATTATTATTATTATTATTATTATTATTATTATTATTATTATTATTATTATTATTATTATTATTATTATTATTATTATTATTATTATTATTATTATTATTATTATTATTATTATTATTATTATTATTATTATTATTATTATTATTATTATTATTATTATTATTATTATTATTATTATTATTATTATTATTATTATTATTATTATTATTATTATTATTATTATTATTATTATTATTATTATTATTATTATTATTATTATTATTATTATTATTATTATTATTATTATTATTATTATTATTATTATTATTATTATTATTATTATTATTATTATTATTATTATTATTATTATTATTATTATTATTATTATTATTATTATTATTATTATTATTATTATTATTATTATTATTATTATTATTATTATTATTATTATTATTATTATTATTATTATTATTATTATTATTATTATTATTATTATTATTATTATTATTATTATTATTATTATTATTATTATTATTATTATTATTATTATTATTATTATTATTATTATTATTATTATTATTATTATTATTATTATTATTATTATTATTATTATTATTATTATTATTATTATTATTATTATTATTATTATTATTATTATTATTATTATTATTATTATTATTATTATTATTATTATTATTATTATTATTATTATTATTATTATTATTATTATTATTATTATTATTATTATTATTATTATTATTATTATTATTATTATTATTATTATTATTATTATTATTATTATTATTATTATTATTATTATTATTATTATTATTATTATTATTATTATTATTATTATTATTATTATTATTATTATTATTATTATTATTATTATTATTATTATTATTATTATTATTATTATTATTATTATTATTATTATTATTATTATTATTATTATTATTATTATTATTATTATTATTATTATTATTATTATTATTATTATTATTATTATTATTATTATTATTATTATTATTATTATTATTATTATTATTATTATTATTATTATTATTATTATTATTATTATTATTATTATTATTATTATTATTATTATTATTATTATTATTATTATTATTATTATTATTATTATTATTATTATTATTATTATTGGTGGAATTGTCACCATATAGTGAACATCATCGTAAAGAGGCTCCGTGTTCTGTTGCCTAAATCTACTGTATAAAGTTAATTAAATTGTTTATAATTAGTGCATAATATGTCATTGTGCATATAGTGCCTCTATGAGTGTTTGTGATTTAAAATTGTGTAAATCAAGTAAATCAAGTGTAAAAAAATTGTTTGGATACGATCTTTCTCATTTTATGTGAGTACAAAACATTATTATCGTTTGCTTTTTTGCTGGGTTGACCCGGTCTATTCCACCACGGTAATAAAATTATTTGTAAATAGTTGTGAATTTGTTGTATTGACACTCTTTATTTGCTAAAAAATGGGCAATGATACCCCTAGTGATTTAATAAACCGTTGTAAGAGGTGTAAAAATCCTGCTAAATCGGGTTTACGATGTGTGACGTGTGGTACTATCTCACATAACAGTTGTGTGCCAGGATTAAAAAATATTGTTTACATAGACAATGAATCTATTAACTGCTGCATTGACAACAATGATCTACCCAAAATTCCTTCAGTAGTAGAGCATTCTACAGAAAATATTAATGAAGTTAAAATTAAATTCTTAGAACAATTGCTTCAACAAAAAGATCTTGTTATTTCTAATCAGGAAATTGCAATAAAAGCTCTGCAAGGACAGATCAACTTGCTTACAGAAGATATAGTATCCCTTAAAAGTACAGCACCCTTAAGAAATGACAATCGAAATACCTTTCAAGAGTCTTCTATACCAACTATAAGTGAAGGGATAAAAAATGTACCTATAGCGAACTTAAAGGATATACAGGGATACGCCAATACTACAAAGAAATCAGTGCATACCTTTATAACATCTGATATTTCTTCAGCCGTCCACCAAGCTGACGCAGCTAATGTATGTAATGAAATTATAAAATTAAACAATAATAATTTCAGAAGATACCAAAAACCAAAGAATATTTTAGTTGGAACTAGAACTGATTTGCAAACAAACCTAAATGCTGCCAAACGTGAGAGCATGAGCTACTACCACTCTACCAACTGGCACCCAAATGCCTCAGAGGAAGACGTAAAAAAACATCTACAAGACATTGACCCTCATATTAAAGTAGAAAAGCTCAAATCAAGATATCCGGAAGAATACGCCTCATTCAAAATAATCATCCCAACTGCGGAATCATCTAAGATACTTCAAACGGATGTATGGCCTCAAGGTATCTACTTAAACGAGTTTTTTCGGTCAAATAAGAAACCAATCCAATGAAACACCTAACTGTATGAAAAAATATAAAAATAATAACCTCTCTTTACTACATGTTAATGTCCAAAGTTTAACAAATAAAATAGATAGATTGCATATTTTTACTTCCGATAATGAAATTGATATCTTGTGTTTTTCTGAACATTGGTTAAACAGTAATAACCTAGAAATGATTAAAGTTAAAAATTATGAATTAATTACCTCCTATTGCAGAGAAAGTATTGGGCATGGGGGTGTAGCTATTTATTCAAAACCTACTATAATAATTAAAGAAATTAACGTCAGTAAATTTTGCATTCCAGTACATGCAGAATTTTGTGCTTCTGAGATACTAAATAAGAGCAACATCTTAGTCACATTATACAGGTCGTCCTCAAATGGAGACATACAAATATTCAAACAACAGTTTACCTATTTAATACATTATCTCTATGGTAATTATAAAAAAATTATTATCGTTGGTGACATAAACGTGGACATTGACAGTAATAATGAGCATTCTAATGATTTGCGAAATATTATGAGTATGTATGGTTTACAACATCATGTGCATGTCCCAACTCGAGTCACACCCTCATCCAGATCATGTTTAGATAATGTGATTTCTAATTATGACTTGCATGAGTTGGATGTTGATGTGATCGATGTAGATATAGGCGATCATTTTTCATTAAACTTACAAGTAAAATGTCTACAAACTTATGAAAGTTTGACGAAAAAGACCAGAATTATAAATGATAAGAGACTAAAAAACTTTTCTGATAGATTAGCTATAGTAAATTGGAGTAGTCTAGGACTTGAGGCATTAAATTCATCGAATTTGACTGATATGGTGTTGGATAGCATTTGTAGCAATGTTAATATTTGTTTTCCCCTAAAATCTATTAAAATTAATAAAAATAAAGCAAGCTGGTTCAATGACCGTCTAAAACACTTGAGAAAATTAGTATTTGATTCTAAAAAAATATTTATTATCAGTAACAATTTAGATGATTGGTTTACGTATACTGAAATGAGAAAATTATATAAAAAAACCATAAAGGAGGAAAAGAGAAATTATTATAATTCTGAGATAATAAATTCCGATAATAAAAATAAAACAATTTGGAAACTGGTAAATTCAGAGAGAAAAGCTAAATCTAATTTTACTTTTTCGCCGTCTATTAGTCCGGATGAAATTAATGACTTTTTTAGTCATATTGCAACCGTCATAGTAGGTACAATCGAAAATAAAAATTTGGATCCTTTGTTTTATTTGAATAAAATTAGAAAACCATCATTTTCCTTCTTTATGGTCCCAATAATTGAATCAGATGTTCGTCAAGCTATTTTAAAGCTAAAAAATTCTCCTTGTCAAGACTACTATGGATTAAATAGTCAAATGTTAAAATTGTCTTTGGATTCTATAGTTCAGCCATTAACTCTGCTTTATAACAAATGTCTTGAGGATGGCAGTTGGCCTGACTCTCTAAAAATAAGTAAAATCATTCCAGTATATAAGAAAGGTAACAAGGACTCAGTTGATAACTATAGACCTATTGCCATTGTTCCTCTGTTAGGTAAAATTTTCGAAATAATAATTAAAGAAAGACTAGTGCATTATTGTGAAAGTAAATTTTTACTGACACCTGCTCAATTTGGTTTTCGTCAGGACAAATCTACAGTAAGCGCACTTTGTGCATTGATCGAATATGTGGTCGGAGGTATTGATGAGGGAGCAGATACTATAGTTAGTATGTGCGACCTCACCAAAGCATTCGACTGTGTAAACAAAGACATTTTACTTAGTAAGTTGCAGTACTATGGTATTAGAGGTAATATGTTGCGACTTTTTGAGTCCTATCTAACAAATAGGAAACAATATGTCAGCTGCAACGATTTAGAATCTGATCTTTCCTCAATTGACAATGGTGTCCCACAGGGCTCCGTGTTGGGTCCTGTTTTATTTCTATTGTACATTAATGATTTACCAGTTGCAGCTGGAAGCTCACAGTGTTTCCTGTTTGCAGACGATACCACGCTTGCAACGCAAGGAAATCGACAACAAAGCGCAGAGAGCTACGAGAATATAAAAGATTGGTTTTCAGCAAATCAACTAAAATTAAATCCAAGTAAAACTCAAGAAATTTTGTTTACTTCCAGTAAGTTAGTCAGCATATCTGAGCCAGTAAAATATTTAGGTGTAACTCTAGATACTCACTTAAATTGGTCAGAACACATTGAAACCCTCTGCGCTAAGTTGGCCTCCCAAGTGTTTGCAATGCGGCAGTTAAGTTATTGTGTTTGTAAAAATACTATACGTACAGTTTATTTTGCTATTGTACATAGCCACCTAAAGTACGGAATTACGTTGTGGGGCAACTCAACATATGTGGAAAGAGTATTTAAAATGCAAAAAAGAGCTATTAGAATCATAGATGCCGCACAACCTGATGCCCACTGCAGAGAGCTATTTAAAAAATACCGTATACTCCCTGTTCCTTGTATTTACATTTTAGAGTCACTTACAATTATCCATCGTAATTTAAATGAACATATAAGTCATGAAAATATCCACTCATATGGAACGAGAAATGCTAGCAATCTAGTTCAAAGTTTCTCGCGTACACAAATGTCAAAAAAAAAATAAACTAGATGTTAATTTATATAATAAGTTCAAAAATCAATACAAAGATGTAAATATTTCAAATATGTCTAGTCAAAAATTTAAAAAATTTGTTGAAGTTTTCCTTTTAAAACATTGTTTTTATACAGTTAACGAATATATGTTTTTAGCCTAAAATGTTCGGTATATGTATGTCTGTCGATATTGTGCTGTATTCATTTTATTTATGTTATTGTAGACGACCTAGCTATTGCTAGTTTAAACTCTTATTTTTTACATTATTTTACACACTATACTCACCTCAAATGTACTACTGTATGTAATGTGGTAAATAAAAAAAATAAAAAAAATAAATAAATATTATTATTATTATTATTATTATTATTATTATTATTATTATTATTATTATTATTATTATTATTATTATTATTATTATTATTATTATTATTATTATTATTATTATTATTATTATTATTATTATTATTATTATTATTATTATTATTATTATTATTATTATTATTATTATTATTATTATTATTATTATTATTATTATTATTATTATTATTATTATTATTATTATTATTATTATTATTATTATTATTATTATTATTATTATTATTATTATTATTATTATTATTATTATTATTATTATTATTATTATTATTATTATTATTATTATTATTATTATTATTATTATTATTATTATTATTATTATTATTATTATTATTATTATTATTATTATTATTATTATTATTATTATTATTATTATTATTATTATTATTATTATTATTATTATTATCAAATTTTTATTGTACATTTCCATAATGATGTCAAGTAGTTAGGTACCTCATCAGAATAATAACATTTTTCCATTTAGTGGGTTTTGTGAGAAAACAAAAATTACAAATTTCTTGCTTACTTTTTACTTTATAGTATTTACAATTGGGTACAAAATAGATCATTTTGAATTAGTCTTTAGATAGTCTTTGGATAGTCTTTGGATAGTCTTTGGATAGTCTTTGGATAGTCTTTGGATAGTCTTTGGATAGTCTTTGGATAGTCTTTGGATAGTCTTTGGATAGTCTATGGATAGTCTTAGGCACTGAAACAAAATATAAAACAAATTACAGTCGTAAAACTTTATTAAAGGTAAACAACATAACCTTAAAAAGTTTTTATTTACCTTGCCTTAAAGAAATTTTTCGGGAACAATCGTTAAATTGACATACATTCTTTCAATTTATTAAAGTTGCAGTTCTCAATTAAACACATTTTTTTAAATGATCACAAATAATAAAATAATCTTAATTTTACTAGAACCGTTTCATAATGACAATTTGTTTTATTTGGTACAGTGTTGCCAGAATATGTTTTTGTTATGTACCAGATTTGTCTAAAAAATGTACCAGATTCCTTAAATTTATCAGATTTTTCGAATTCTTTTGCAGTGACATCTAATTCATTGAAGGGGAAAAAGGGAGGTCTTTATTGATAATGAACCCAAACAAGGAACACAATATATATATATTTTACATGTATGTGAACACGCAGAATTTACTACATCTAGTACAATTGTGAATTGTACTAGACTGGCAACACTTGTTTGTGAGCGGCGCGCCAATTAATGTGTTCTTTGACAGTTTGAAGAATCTGTTGGCGTTTTCTTCTCTTTTAAGCTATATGCATTCACCATGTCGTCTCACTCGTGTTAGGCTCACTCATCATAATGCACCACAGACACATAATACTTAGGTATACTGTGCCACAGAGATGCGATCAGCTAGAGGACAATGATGTACCAAAAAATATAGATTAACACTTATGAAAATAAAAATATTAAATTGATATTTTTATGTTATTTTAAAATAATGTGTTTTTATGAAATTAAACTGGGTGTTCACTGCACAAATGGACCAATGGAGAAACCGCCCCTGGTCTCAAATGTATCGAGGGCTCAAATGTACGAGGGCGCATCTGTCCCGATACCAACAAATTATCCTTGTCTAATGGTAAACAATAGCCCTATAGTTTAATCAGCAGGAAGTTACTTTCAACTATACTCAGAGCTGAAAAGACTGGCCCTCAATAAAATATATATTAAAATTGTCATACTTTTTTGAAACTTCGTTGGAAACAAAAAAAATGCTCAATGCATAATTGGTTATAAAACACATGACTATTCTGTAGACCCTTGAACAAAAAACAAAATATAAGTTACAACGGTAATTTGGAAATAAACAAACATAACCTCAAAAATAATGGTATTTTGTTTACCTTAGACATTCTTCGGTAACAATCGTTGAATTGACACATATACTTCCAATTTATTAAAGTCGCAATTTTATTTAAATTTAATTTTTAATAAATACAATACACAATTAAAATTCTCATATGTTGATTTTTAGAATTGAATAGCTTGATTGGAGATTGAAGATAGAGAATGAAGTAGGTAGAAACGACATAAACACTATTTTGTGATATGACAATTGGAGGCACTTTGTGTCATATTTTGATTAATTTTAAGTTAATAATTTTATATTTAAAGATTGGCGGAATGAAAATGTTTTTATATCATTGAAATCACGTTATTTATCACCAAAACTGACTAGCTCGAGTTTGACATAGATTTATCGTAAAAAAATAATGCAAATGTGCAGACAATATAAATACCGTCATTAAATATTTTTATTCTATATCTGTGATTTGAGAGATTCGTATGCCTCGCCCTACTTTGTGACGTCACTGTGTGCGTTGCTCAAAATAAAATGATTTTAGTGATTTTAAGTAGGTCATTGTTCGTTTCACCGATCTGTTAACGTGTTGACATCTCTTTTTAGCTAGAGGCTTTCGAGAGAGCTTCTCACTCCCGCGAAATCAGTCAGAAAAGTGAGCCAAAGAGACGCGATTAGCCAGAGCGCAGTGGCGTACCCAAAAATAGATATTAACACATTAAAACAATAAAATTGTTAAAATTGAATTAATTTTTTTATGTTATTTATTTTAAAATAATGTGTTTTTATGAAATATAACTGAGTGTTCACTGCACAAATGAACCAATGGAGGGTTTCCTCTCACTGAACCACCTTTTATAATAAAAGTATCTGAAGACGATTTGCAAGAAATTGTTAACGACCACCCCAATTCTTTGGTCATTAAGGAAATAATTGTCACACAAACTGTAGAAAGGGCAGTTAAACTTGTTTGTTTTGTCTTGTTTATTAGTGACTGATCTAATAGGGAATACCATTTTTTTTAAGGAAGTGATGCTAAAGTTTAATACAAAAAGAGATTTTTTTCCTACCAACTAGATATAAAAACTTTTAATATATTATAATATTGTAAGTTTTTCTAAAAATAATTTTTCGGTAATAAAAAATGAATGAAACCACTTTAATTATAGTCTATTTTTATGTATGAGAGAGTAATAAAACAGCATTTCTAATGCAAAACTTAGTACAGTCATTTTAAATATTTTTACAGAATAATCTAAATATTTCCTAAAATTGTAATAAATGTACCTGAGCTATTACAAGTTTTGGGTCTTTTATTGGTCCTTTATAAACATAAGCTGTACAGAACAATAGAAAAAGGTTTGGACGGGCCAAAAGCCCTGTGTATTAAAGATTACATAGCCGTATCTTAAGATTATTTTCAATAAGTACCTATTTACCAATTTTGTTTTATTTTAATTTCAAGAATTTCTTACAGTAATCGAATTATAAGTAGATAAATACCTTCCCAACAAATTTCACCGAAAATGCGATTATAGGTTTTCCATTTAGTAAGGAGGTCCAAATTGTGTATTCTTGACAGTTTACTAAATGTCGTTTAGTTGCAACTTGCAAGGTGCAGTGTGATCATGGAAAATTTGTAAGGGCCGCGTAAACGACAAAAAATCGGTCCTTTAACAGTTAATGAAAAAATATTAATATTTAATTGTTTTAAATCATTTACAGACAAACATTTATGTAAAAGTGTTGATGACAGTGGAATTAGTTAGTAGTACGCTTGGTGTTGGGAAATCTACGATTTACAGAGTTGTTAAAGAAGAGAAATGTGGCGAGTTTCAAACAGCACGTAAAGCTCCAGGAAAACCAAAATTTCAATTAGAAAATCTTTTGAAAGAAAGACTTCGAAGGAAAGTGAATGCGTTATTCTTTAGAAAAGAATTTCCGACAGTAGACAAAGTTCTTGCCACGGTTCGAGATGATAAGGATTACCCTGAAATGAGTCGAAGCACAATATGGAAACTTTTAAAAGAAATAGGTTTTCTATGGAAAAAGCATTCCAGAAAGTCTATTTTAATAGAAAGAAGCGATATTGTAGGATGGAGAAGAAATTACCTAAGGACTATAAAAGAAATGAGAAACCAAAGAAGAAATATATTTTATTTAGATGAAACATGGACCAACGAGGGACATAAACCAAATAAATTTTGGCAAGATGAAACTGTTACTAGTCGAAGACAGGCTTTTTTAAATAATTTATCTACTGGTTCAAATCCACCATCAGGAAAGGGGCGCAGACTAATAATAGTACACATCGGTAGTTCAAACGGTTTTGTAAGGTGGTTTATTGACTTTTGAATCTACTCGTACCGGTGACTACCATGAGGACATGAATGCTTTAAAGAGTGGTTCGAACAAATTATAGATCTTCTTCCTCAGAACTGTATAATAGTAATGGATAATGCAAGTTATCATTCGAGACTTATAGAAAAAAATGCCCACAATCAAGTGGTTAAAAAAAGATTTACAGAATTGGTTAAATTCAAAGAATATTAAGTTCCATCCCGGTTCTGTGAGAAAAGAACTGTATCATTTGTATTCCCTTCATAAAGAGAAATTAAAAAAATATGAAATTGATGAAATTGCAAAAAATCGTGGGATGACGGTGGTTAGATCACCACCATATCATTGCGAAGTAAACCCGATTGAACTGATATGGGCACAGATAAAGGGAGAAGTTTCAAGAAAAAATAATTCTTTTAAAATGAGTGATGTTAAACAGTTGTTTTTGGAGGCTGTAAATAATGTGAAGCCTGAAAACTGGGAAAAGGCAGTAAATTATACGATTAAAGAAGAAGAGAAAATGTGGAAGTTGGACAATATTACTGATGAAATGATCGAGCCACTCATTGTAAATATTGGTTGCGACAGTTCATCTTCTGATTTCGATTCTGATTTGGATTTGTAGGTAAGAAGTAGTTTTTATATTAAAATTATTATTTATGAACGTAACGTTGTTTAAAAGTCAAAGTTTAAACCCTTATACCTACATAACCCGTTTGACACAATGTTCTTAACATAAATTGTGGAAAAATAAAACATTTTAGAAAAAATTGCACTTTTTTACCTTTAGCTGTTTAGAAGTTATAAGCAGTTTAATTAGGTGAAAATATAAGTGTATACTCGAGGAATAACTTGAAAAAAATATTTTAACTGTCTACTAAAAAAAGTGATACGCCTATGGATTACGAACGCTTTATTATTTTAATACTCTCTTATACATAAAAATAGACCATAGTATGTTATATTTATTGGGTTCTGATAATTTTTTAATATGCTTTGTGGAGGTGGGAAAAAATTGGAATTAAAAAAAAAAACAGTGGTAAACTGAATAGAAACTGAAATTATTATTTGAATAAGGATACTTCCCTGACCGTAGTAGAATTTTATATAAATAAAAATTTCCTTGGTTTATTCGGTTACGCTTTTATTTTCTATCAATTAAACAAGTACTACCGATGTTTCGGACATTTTTTTCCATCTTCTGGTGCAAACAAAATTTAATAAAAGATGCTTTTATATCAAATCAGAATTTCTCAAAATGTAAAAAACTTTGGAATACACATTTGCGCACCACCCAGTATGTGTGAATATTTTGAACACCATATATGTAAATTTCCGTTACTTAAAACATATCAACGGTATTAACATTCAAAAATATAAATTCATTCCTTTTTTTATTAAATTATTTTAAATTTTTTTAACTTAAAACCCTGCACCTAAAAAACCATAGGATTTAAGTGGACCCACGGACATATTTCGGCTAGAACTCAAGTGCTACAATATTTCGTAAGTTTATGCCATTCGACGGAAAACCATTTTCCATAAGGAAAGCTGTACAATAAAAAATAAGAGTATAAAAGGTGACAATGATTCAGACTCTGATTCACCCTGTACGACAACTTTACGGCGGTTTATTTCCGGTTAGTACTCAGTACTCTTACAAAACCCGATCCGGCTATCAACGTAAACCTGTCCACAGAGCGTTTCGTTCAAAAGGCAACAAAACAAATCGTAATAAATATGTTTGAGGAAGGATAATATTCCTTTTAAGTCTCTGTTATTGAGAACTGGCCGATATTGTTTTTTTTTATATATAGTTTCTGTTAAGTATGATGAATACGTGATCCTTCTTATTTCATTTCTGAATGTTATTTCTTTAAAAGGATGTATCAAGGATTACCGTTCATTCGAGCATTGTATCTTTTGTATCTATTCAGTGCTGTAGCGTTTAATAACAAACCCAAATTGATTTATTTATTTTTTAGGAAATCATAAAAGTATCCATGTTTTTTTAGGTCATTGCCATTCAATTTTTAGTAGAATAACGAAACATGATACCACACAGTTTAATGATATAAAAAATTAGGACCTCAATTTATTACTTCTAGTAATACTTGTTATTTATTATATCTTATGTAATGATTTGAAGGCATTTGCGTTAAATATTCTTGTTTTTACCTCTCCCCCAATAGTTGCGCAAGTAACAGATTTCTTCTGTTGCTTTTTTAGATTTATTCTACACTACGTATTATATCTTTCTCCTTTGTCTATCCTTATATTTCCCTTTGAATACTCTGTATGTTCCTTTTGGGCCAATAGTCTCGTTTTCTTTGAATTTATTTTTAAAACATTCTAAATGACATACTTACGGTTAGTTTTACTTAAAATTCGACATGCTTGGAATTTTTATTAAATATTCATTAATAATAATTTAATTTTTTTAATGTCGTCTAATCCCCTGCCTACATATTTTATTTTTTAATCCTCTAGTAGTGGTGTCGCTCCAAATTAGTAACATGTCAACTTATCCCAATTAGATTTCTTAAAAATCAGTGTTATAATTAAAATGATCTGCATAAAAATATCTCTTATCCATCTAGGCTACTTTGTATATTATATAAAATATATGTACATACTATTTTTATTTAAACAGCAAAGGTATTTTTATTCTTCGATCATTATTTCGTGATTACTGATTAGTTTCACAAAATAGTTGCTAGGTGTCAAATCTTTAGAATTCAGTGGGTTGGTACCGATTTCTAACATAATTCCAAAACTTTGTTAGCAGCAATTACAAATATGTCGCACCACAGAGCTAGGATATACAGGGTGTCCGGAAAGTCAACGATAATACTGAAAGTGGTGATGAACGAACTCATAAGCTTTCAGAAGAACATAATATGACCTTAGTGAAAAATCGATGGTTTTCGAGATATTGCCACTTTAATAAAATTCGTTAAAATCGTCCCCTTAGATCAGATTTTCGAGTGTCACTCCTAAAAAAATGAATAATTCTTAGATTCTGATTTAGGTTTTGCAACTGTGAATTGCCATTTCATTAAACAAAGACCAACATTGAACCAAAAGTTCAAAATATACCATAAGAAATCTTATTTTACAGAGAAATAATTTATTTTTATTTTCCATCACTCAAGTTTAACACCTCATACTGTACAAAAAAAAGGTCTACACTAACCTGGCTACTGATTTGAAAAGTTTACTCATTTAATTTACTTTTAAAAATTACACATTGTTCTAATAAGCAGTTTACTGTTATTGAATTACAGTGAAGGATATACCTAATTTACCTTATACAAGTAACAACATTCTAAAATTTAAACAAAATTAAATCATGTTAATAAAAAATATATTTAACTTAAGAAAAATAAAAAAAATCAAATAATGCATTTCTTGCCAAGTTTATCTATTGGGCTGCGTCAGTTATTCGCTGACGTAATTCATCAATATTACTTACTGGTCTTGCATAAACCTTTTCTTTTATGCAACTCCAGTAAAAAAAATCTAGGGGGTTTAGGTCTGGAGACCTGGGGGGTCATAAAATTGGATCAAGTCGGCCGATCCGTCTGTGGAGGTAGGTTTGATTTAAATACGCACGAACTTGATGTGTATAATGTGCCGGGAAGCCATAATATTGACACAACATTCTTTGGCGTGCGGCCAAAGGAACATCTTCCAAAAGAAGCGGTAGATTGGTTTCACAAAAATGTAAATAAGCTTGCCAGTTTAGATTTTCTGGTAATTCGAATGGACAAATTACATGTCCCTTTAGGATACCAGTCCACAGGTTTACTTTGAAACGGTACTAAGACCTTTCTTCTCGAATGGAGTGGGGATTTTCCAACGCATAAGAATGCAAATTGTGCATGTTCATAAAGCCATCCTTTTTAAATGTCCACTACTAGAGGATTAAAAAATAAAATATGTAGGCAGGGGATTAGAAGACATAAAAAAAATTTAATTATTCTTAATGAATATTTAATAAGAATTCCAAGCATGCCGAATTTTAAGTAAAAACTAACAGTAAGTATGTCATTCAGAATGTTTTAAAAATAAATTCAAACAAAACCAAACTATTGGCCCAAAAGGATCATACAGAGTATTAAGAAGGAAATATAAGGATAGACAAAGAAGAAAGATATAATACCTTGTCCATTAACCATTAGAAGAAATCTGTTACTTGCGAAACTACTGCTTTCAAATCATTACGTAAGATATAACAAATAAATATTACTAGAAGTAATAAATTGAGGTCCTAATTTTTTATATCATTAAACTGTGTGGTATCATGTTTCGTTATTCTACTAAAAATTTAATGGCAATGACCACAGTACATAGTACATAAAGTTCGGGTCCTCTCTATTTTTTTGCAACATTCTGCGACAAAACCGTACGCGTTGTTCGTAGTCCCGAGGCAGCAGGGCTTGTACACGTTGCACGTGATATGGTTAATATTGATATCTCCTAGGGATCTCGTTTACTGTCGATTTGGGTATCCCTGTTGGTTTTCTATTGTTCAAGCCGAAGTAGTCGGATCGTTTTCAATTTCTTCTAAAACTTGATCATCATAATCAATGCGGGGTCTCCCCTCTCGAACGGGAGCGTGAGGAATCCTGCCCTCCGAATATGCACATGAACATTGATAAACACACGATAATCAGGATATCGTGCCAAATTTGGATATTTTTCCCGATAAATGTTAGCTGCCGCTAGACCATTTTCTCTGCATTCTCCATAAATGAGATGCATGTTTGCATACTCCTGGGGCTCGATTCTCGAGTTCATTGGAAAATTTTCCCATGGGAAAAGATTCCACTATATATAATCCCATGATAATAGGTTATGCAATTCTGGAACTTGTCGGAATAGACATTCCCATGGAAATAGTAGTTTCACGTATGTCTAATATTAAGTCCACGAATATTTTGAAAACAAGCAATAACATTAAAGATATTTTAGAATTTACTGTTGGCATTATTTGTATTTGTTGTGGTTTTTGGGTAAGAAAATCAGTTCATACACTTTCTTAGTGAAAGAGAAGTAAAAATAATATACCTACATAAATAATATCAATCTATAAATACGCCAAAAAATGTTTTAACTACAATTTCACCAAAAATCCAAGATATCCAATAATCTTTGGTTATGTCTTAGTTTTTCGTCAAATTTTCGACTTTAATGCGCAAACTCTAGTACAATTCCCATTGGAAAACACAATTTCCAATGCTCGTAAGCAGGGGAATATTTTCCCATACTTCTCATTGGAAAATATTCCACCGCTTATGTCGAGAATACGAAAACTGAATTTAAATGGGAAAATTTTATTTTCCCATGGGAATAAAAGTCGAGAATCGACCCCCTGGGCGAGTCGAGAATCGACCCCCTGGGCGGTATACGGCAGCGGCATATTAAACAGTTCAATCACCAACACAAATAGTTCAATCAACACAAAGTCCACAGGAAAGTCAGGTCACTTCATTTGATCTCCAATACAATCAAATCCAAATCAAAAGGTAACACATAAATTCAGGTACAAGCAGAAGTTATTGACAGTACAGTAACAAAATAACAACAAAAATGTTATTTGCTTGTTGCTATGGCGATAACACTTGTTTCATGACCTCCTAGTCTAGGCTGTTGATTTTTATTTAATTTTTGGTAAGAGAAATAAAACTTTTTTAAACATGATTTAATTAATGTTATTAATGTTCTCATAAGGTAAATTAGGAATATCCTTCAGTGTAAGTCAATAACAGTAAACTGTTTATTGGAACAATGGGTAGTTTTTAAAAGTATATTAAATGAGTAAACTTTTCAAATCACTAGCCAGGTTAGTATAGACCTTTTTTGTACAGTATGAGGTGCTAAACTAAAATTGAATATTTTGAACTTTTGGTTCAATGTTGGTCTTTGTTTAATGAAATAGCTATTCACAGTTGCAAAACCCAAATCAGAATCTAAGAATTATACATTTTTTTAGGAGTGACACTTGAAAATCTGATCTAAGGGAACGATTTTAACCAATTTTATTAAAGTGGCAATATCTCGAAAGCCATCGATTTTTTACTAAGGTTATATTATGTTTTTCTGAAAGATTATGAGTTGATCCATCACCCCTTTTAGTATTATCGGTGACTTTCTGGACACCCTGTATATGTCCTATTTTACATGTATTTATGCTTTATCGGGTTTTTAAAGCATCTATGATATATTTCCCACTATGTTAAAGCAAAAGCAGCAACATTGAAGTGCTCAGAATACTAGTATGCTGCATTTTTTGCGATTTTTGCTATAAAAAGTGAATTTTATTGTAAACTAAATTAGGTAGTTTTCTATATTATTAGTATTTTTAAACATTATTGTAAAATTTTCATATAACATGCCATGTATGGCTTTGAACTATGAACTGTTTACGTATGGGATCTATGTGTCCCATTGGATTTTGTGGAGGATGTTTTATGTCTGATACATAACTAAGGGGACACTTGGATCTCACATCGTATAAATATCACATCGAGCATCACATTTTTGTATTACTATCAAAAGAAATAAATTTTGATTTGGACCTATGTCTTCATTCATTGTAATACCAAGTGTACATCTTTTTTATTTGCTGGAAGTGAATATAGTTGTTATATTTTTGTGTTCAAGAAAACCTCGTTATAATCATTACTGATCTTTCATGAATATACTATGATTTACCTTTCATCGAAGGTAAATAGTGTGATATCATTTACTACACATTTTACGTTTTCTACCTGCTGTTGCCTGTTGACCCATCTAGTCTGGAATATTAATGGATCCATAGCACCATGGATGAACGAAATGCTTATAAATTTATTATATTCCACGTTGTTTAATATCAAGTTTATATTTAATTAATCAAAATACTTCTAATACTAAAAAAAAAATACAATTGACACTGTATTACAATCACATAAGGACAACATATTATACCTACTACATAAATACTCTATCGGTTCCCTTTAAATTGGAG